AGCTGGATCTCCTGAATACAGCACTTCGATGGATCTTGACTTACTCAATTTGCCAGTCTGTGTCTTTTAATTGGGGCATTTAGCCCATTTACATTTAAGGTTAATATTGTTATGTGTGAATTTGATCCTGTCATTATGTTGCTAGCTGGTTATTTTGCCCGTTAATTGAGGCAGTTTCTTCATAGTGTCAATAGTCTTTACAATTTTGTATGTTTTTGCAGTTGCTGGTACCAGTTGTTTTTAGTGCTTCCTTCAGGAGCTCTTGTAAGGCAGTCCTGGTAGTAACAAAATCTCTCAGCATTTGCTTGTCTGCAAAGGATTTTATTTCTCCTTTACTTATGAAGCTTAGTTTGGCTAGATATGAAATTCTGGGTTGAAAATTATTTTCTTTAAGAATGTTGAATATTGGCCCCCCAGTCTCTTCTGGCCTGTAGGGTTTCTGCAGAGAGATCCACTGTTAGTCTAATGGGCTTCCTTTTGTGGGTAACCTGCCTTTCTTTCTGGCTACCCTCAACAGTTTTTTCTTCATTTCAACCTTGGTGAATCTGACGAATCTGTGTCTTGGGGTTGCTCTTCTCAAGTGGTATTTTTGTGGTGTTCTCTGTATTTTCTGAATTTGAATGTTGGCCTGTCTTGCTAGGTCGGGGACATTCTCATGGATGATATCCTGAAGAGTGGTTCCATTCACCCTGTCACTTTCACGTACCCCAATCAAATGTAGATTTGGTCTTTTCACATAGTCCCATATTTCTTGAAGGCTTTGTTCATTTCTTTTTATTCCTTTTTTCTCTAATCTTATCTTCTTGCTTTATTTCATTAAATTGATCTTCAATCTCTGATATGGTTTCTTCCACTTTATCGATTCAGCTATTGATATTTGCGCATGCTTCATGAAGTTCTCGTGCTGTGTTTTTCATCTCCATCAGGCATTTATGTTCTTCTGTAAACTGATTATTCTTGTTAGCAATACCTCTGACCTTTTTTCAAGGTTCTTAGCTTCTTGGCATTGGGTTAGAACATGTTCCTTTAGCTAGGAGGAGTTTGTTATTACCCACCTCTGAAATTTGTCAAATTTGAGTTTGTCAATTCATCAGACTTATTCTCCATTCAGTTTTGTTTCTTTGCTGGTGATGAGTTGTGATCCTTTGGAGGAGAACAGGCATTCTGGTTTTTGGAATTTTCAGCCTTTTTGCACTGACTTCTCCCCATCTTTATGGATTTATCTACCTTTGGTTTTTGATGTTGATGAGCTTCGAATGGGGTCTCTGAGTAAACATCTTTTTTGTAGATGTTGCTTCTGTTCCTTTCTGTTTGTTAGTTTTCCTTTTAACAGTCAGGTGCCTCTGCTGCAGATCTGCTGGAGCTTGCTGGAGGTCCACTCCCTGTTTGCCTGGTTATCACCAGCGGAGGCCATAGAACTGCAAAGATTGCTGCCTGTTCCTTCCTCTGGAAGCTTCGTCCCAGAGGCCACCCGCCACATGCCAGCCAGAGCTCTCTTGATGAGGTGTCTATTAGCTTCTACTGGGAGGTGTCTCTCAATCAGGAGACAAGGGTGTCAGGGACCCACTTGAAATGGCAGTCTGACCCTTAGCAGAGCTCGAATGCTGTGCTGGTAGATCCACTCCTCTCTTCAGAGTTGTCCAGCAGGGATGTTTAAGTCTGCTGAAGCTACTCTCACAGCTGTCCCTTCCCCCAGGTGCTGTCCCAGGGAGATGGGTGTTTTATCTATATGCCCCTGACTGTGGTTGCTGCCTCTTTTTTCAGAGATGCTCTGCCCAAAGAGGAGGAATCTTGAGATACAGTCTGGTCTTGCTGAGCTGCGGTGGGCTCCACCCAGTTCAATCTTCCAGGCAGCTTTGTAAACACTGTGAGGGTAAAATTGCCTACTGAAGCCTCAGCAATGATGGATGCCCTTCCCCCACCAAGCTCGAGTTTCCCAGGAGTAGCTTAGACTGCTGTGCTTGCAGCCAGAATTTCAAACCAGTGGGTCATAGCTTGCTGGGCTCCATGAGTGTGGGATCCGCCGAGCCTGACCACTTGGCTCCCTGGCTTCAGGCTTCTTTCCAGGGGAGTGAACAGTTCTGTCTCACTGGTCTTCTGGGTGCTACTGGGGTATGGGGAAAAAAAAAATCCCCTGCAGCTACTTTGGTGTCTGCCCAAATGGCCACCCAGTTTTGTGCTTGAAACCCAGGGCCCTGGTGTCATAGGCACCGGAGGGAATCTCCTGGTCTGCAGGTTACGAAGACCATGGGAAAAGCATAGTATCTGCGTTGGAGAGCACTGTGCTTCATGATACAGTCCCTAAACCCTTCCCTTGGCTAGGAGAGGGAGTTCCCCGACCCCTTGCACTTCCCAGATGAGGCGACATGCCACCCTGCTTTGGCTCGTACTCAGTGAGCTGCACCTACTGTTCAACCAGTCCGAATGAGATGAACCGGGTACCTCAGTTGGAAATGCAGAAATCACACACCTTCTGTGTCGATCGCGCTGGGAGCTGCAGACCAGAGCTGTTCCTATTCGGCCATCTTGCCAGCCTCCTCTATTTTGATTTTTATTACAGAAAGTGTGGTATAATAATATCTTGCTATAATTATATTGTTCTCCTTGTGTTTCTTCTATTCTGTCAGTATTTGCTTTATGTATTTGTAATCCTAATATATGACACACACACACACACACACGTATTCAAAGTTTTCACAGGTTCCTAGTGAACCTACTATTGTTAATATCTTTCTTTGTCTCTTTGGAGTTTCACTGTCAAGTGCATTTTACGAAATACGAGTCTTTGACTTAAGATTTAGCTCGTGTAATATTATTTTGACCTCTTCTGCTCTCACTTGATTAACATTTGCATGAAATGTCTACTTCCACCTTGCCACTTTGATTTCAACTGACTCTTGTCAAAAGGCAAGTTGGATCTTGGTATTTAAAAGTTTTTAATAGCCTGGGCAAGGTGGCTTATGCCTGTAATCCTAGCACTTTGGGTGGCCAAGGCGGGTGGATCACCTGAGGCCAGGGGTTCCAGACCAGCCTGGTCAACACTGTGGAACCCCGTCTCTACTAAAAATACAAAAATTAGCTGGGCGTGTTGGTGGACTTTTGTTATCCCAGCTACTCAGGAGTCTGAGGCAGGAGAATTGCTTGAACCTCGGAGGCAGAGGTTATAGTGAGCTGAGATAGTGTCATTGCACTCCGGCCTGGGCGACAAGAGTAAAACTTTGTCTCAAAAGAAAAAATATCAATAAATCTATTAAAAATCTGTTGATTTGAAAGTTAATTTTCCATATATTTAAATAATTTTCTGCAAGTGAAGGAGTTACTTTTATTTTATTACCTATTCTATTTGATTCTTGCATCTTGTCCCTCATTTTCTCTCTTTCTGTCTTCCTTTGTTTCTTTCTGATTTTTGCATTGATATACTTTCACTTTCTTATTTTTCTTTTGTGTATGTATACAGATTTTTTTGTATGTATGATACCGTTGGGATTACATAAAACCTCTAAAACTAAAACAATATATTTTAATCAGGTGAAAAATTAACTTCAGTTGCCTAAAAAATTCTTCCTTATTATGTCTGACCTTAAATTTGTCACTGATGTTGCTAAGTTTATCTATTTATGTTGTATATACATTTACAGATGCTTATAATAATTCCTATGCTTTTATCTCTCAAATGTTAGAGAATAATTAAAAATGTTTTCTGCACCATTAGAATAATGCTAGAAATTCAGTTTTTCGTATGTGCATATCTTTCCTAGAAAATAATGTATTTTTATATGATTAGGTGTTGTTTTCTTACATCGTTATTTTCACCAGTAAGAACTGCTTTCAGCATCTTTCCTATGGAAGACATATGCAGTGCCAAGATACTTCTTAAGAATTTAGTTATTTTGAAAGTTTTTTTTGTTGTTGTTTGTTTTTTCCTATTAGGCAGTACCGATTTGCTGATGGCATTATTCTCACTTGATAGCTATTTTTTTTCTTTTTCTTTTTTGGACTTTGACTATATCACACAGGTCTCTTCTGGCCTGCAAATCTTTTGTTGAAAACTCACTGGTTATTTTTGTTCTTATCCTCATTTTTCTGATTTTCTATACTCTTCTGTGTTCTTATTTCACTCATTGAATGTTATTCAGTTTTTAAAATTAGCATATACATTTTTAATGGTTTCTTTCTGAAAATTTTATAATATTTTTGATGAGATTATATTACCTTATTTTGTATAGATTGTAATCTCTGAGATTTGGACATTTAAAAAGGCTACCTGTCATAATTTATAATGTAGCTTTGTCCTGGCATAGTCAGAAAACAGTCATCTTGGCTAGAGATTATGTGGATCTCTCAAACATCTTCTTGAGATTTGTCTTGTCTGAAATTTTGTGTTTGGTTTTAGTTAAAAGAGATTATTTATGTTTCTTCTGAAAAGTAATCACTTGGTACACCATTCTCTCTCTGTGGCACTGCAGTGCTCTGCTGCAGTGCATTTACCTTTGGTCTCTGCAGACTCAAACTGTCATTTCAAAGTATACCACCGTATCTATCAGCCCTTTTTGTCATGAGAGACAGAAACCAGTGTGTGGAAAGGGTTGTAGAAGACAAAAATTAAATCATATGTGCCAATATTTTACTTTCCTTAAAAAAAAAAAAAGAAAGAAAAAACAGAAGTTGACAGTTTACTTCTGAAGGGACTAGGTAATATTGAGGAGTAGAAAGAGTTGTATTGGGTAAATTTAACAAACTTTTCTTTTTTTCTATGTGGCTCTTTGCATTGGTCTTAATTCAGGCACTGCATACACTTAACTCATGTATAAATTATCCACATATGTATTTTGGTCTGTGTGTTTTTATTACATTTCTATGTCTATGAAGACTTAGGGCCTGTGTCATATTGCAATGTCATCTTGCTTATGTAGTTTGAATAATTTTATAGGTTAAATTTGGAAACTATATTTACCTGAGTCTAATAAGTGGACTAATTTGTTATTTTTATTTCTTTTCAGTTATATGTTCTCATTTTGCTCAAGACCTTTGGCCAGAGCAGGGCATAGAAGATTCTTTCCAAAAAGTGACATTGAGAAGATATGAAAAATGTGGACCTGAGAATTTACAGTTAAAAATTGGTTGTACCAATGTGGATGAGTGTAAGGTGCACAAAAAAGGTTATAATCAGCGTAACCAGAGTTTGACAACTACACAGAGCAAAGTATTTCAATGTGGCAAATATGCAAACATCTTTAATAAACGTTCAAATTCAAACAGACGTAAGGTAAGGCATACTGGAAAGAAACTTTTGAAATGTAAAGAATATGTCAGATCATTTTGCATGCGTTCACACCTATCTCACCATAAAAGAATTTACAGTAGAGAGAATTCCTACAAATGTGAAGAAGATGGCAAAGCCTTTAACTGGTCCTCAACCCTTACTTGTCATAAGAGAATTCATACTGGAAAGAAACTCTACAAATGTAAAGAATGTGGCAAAGCCTTTAGTAGTTTCTCAGTCCTTACTAAACATATGGTAATTCATACTGGAGAGAAACCCTACAAATGTGAAGAACATGGCAAAGCCTTCAGATGGTCCTCAAGCCTTACTAAACACAAGAGAATTCATGCTGGAGAGAAACCCTACAAATGTGAAGAATGTGGCAAAGCCTTTAAGTGGTACTCAAACCTTAGTTGTCATAAGAAAATTCATACTGGAGAGAAACCCTACAAATGTGAAGAATTCATAAGAGAATTCATACTGGAAAGAAACTCTACAAATGTAAAGAATGTGGCAAAGCCTTTAGTAGTTTCTCAGTCCTTACTAAACATATGGTAATTCATACTGGAGAGAAACCCCCACAAATGTGAAGAACATGGCAAAGCCTTCAGATGGTCCTCAAGCCTTACTAAACACAAGAGAATTCATGCTAGAGAGAAACCCTACAAATGTGAAGAATGTGGCAAAGCCTTTAAGTGGTACTCAAACCTTAGTTGTCATAAGAAAAATCTTATACTGGAGAGAAACCCTACAAAATGTGAAGAATGTGCAAAGGCTTTGGGTACGTTCTCAGTCCTTACTAAACATAAGGTAATTCATACTGGAGAGAAACTCTACAAATGTGAAGAATGTGGCAAAGCCTATAAGGGCTCTCAACCCTTAGTTATCATAAGAAAATTCATACTGGACAGAAACCCTATAAATGTGAAGAATGTGGCAAAGGCTTTAGTACGTTCTCAGTCCTTACTAAACATAAGGTAATTCATACTGGAGAGAAACTCTACAAATGTGAAGAATGTGGCAAAGCCTCTAAGTGGTCCTCAATCCTTACCAAACATAAGAAAATTCATACTGAGAGAAACCTCACAAATGTGAAGAATGTGGTAAAACTCTTTGTAAGGTTCAGTCCTTACTAAACATAAGGTAATTCATACTGGAGAGAAACCCTACAAATGTGAAGAATGTGGCAAAGCCTTTGGCTGGTCCTCGGCTCATAACCACCAGAGAATTCATGCTGACAGAAACCCCAGCAAATGTAAAGAATGTGGCAAAGCTCATAGTAAGTTCTCAGTCCTTACTAAACATAAGGTAATTCATACTGGAGAGAAACCCTACAAATGTGAAGAATGTGGCAAAGCCTTTGGCTGGTCCTCAAGCCTTACTAAACACCAAAGAATTCATGCTGGAGAGAAACCCCCACAAATGTGAAGAATGTGGCAAACCTTAAGTGGTTTTCAAACCTTAGTTATCATAAGAAATTCATACTGAGAGAAACCCTACAAATGTGAAGAATGTGGCAAAGGCTTTAGTACGTTCTCAGTCCTTACTAAACATAAGGTAATTCATACTGAGAGTCCTACAAATGTGAAGAATGTGGCAAAGCCTATAAGTGGCCCTCAACCCTTAGTTATCATAAGAAAATTCATACTGAGAGAAACTCCTATAAATGGGAAGAATGTGGCAAAGGCTTCAGTATGTTCTCAATCCTACTAAACATAAGGTAATTCATACTGAGAGAAACCTCTACAAAATGTGAAGAATGTGAAAGCCTTCAGCTGGCTCTCAGTCTTTAGTAAAACATAAAGAAACTCATGTTGGAGAGAAATTCCTACAAATGAAGAATGTGGCAAAACTTTTAAACAGTCCTCAACCCTTATGACACATGAGAAAATTCATACTGAAGAGAAACCCTACAAAATGTGAAGAATGTAGGCAAAAGCTTTAGTAGGTTCTCAACTTTACTAAACATAAGGTAATTCATACTGGAGAGAAACTCTACAAATGTGAAGAATGTGGCAAAGCCTATAAGTGGTCCTCAACCCTTAGTTATCATAAAAAAAATCATACTGGAGAGAAACCCCACAAGTGTGAAGAATGTGGCAAAGGCTTTAGTACTTTCTCAATCCTTACTAAACATAAGAGAATTCATACTGGAGAGAAACCCTACAAATGTAAAGAATGTGGCAAAGGCTTTAGTAGGTTCTCAATCCTTACTAAACATAAGAGAATTCATACTGGAGAGAAACCCTACAAATGTGAAGAATGTGGCAAAGCCTTCAGCTGGTTCTCAGTCTTTAGTAAACATAAGAAAATTCATGCTGGAGGGAAACCCTACAAACGTGAAGAATGTAACAAGGCTTTTAAACAGTCCTCAACCCTTACTACATGTAAGAAAATTCATACTGGAGAGAAACACTAGAAATGTGAAGACTGTGGCAAAGGCTTCAACCAGTCCTCAAGCCTTATGGAGCATAAGATAATTCATACTAGAGAGAAACCCTACAAATGTGAAGAATGTGATAAAGACTTCAACTGGTCCTCACATCTTACTGCTCATAAAAGAATCCATACTGGAGGAAAAACCCTACAAATGTGAAAAATGTGGCAAACTCAAAAGAGTTAGTTCTCAACTCTTACTGAACATAAGGGAATTTATACAGGAGGGAAACCCTACAAATGTGAAGAATGTGGCAAGCCTTTAAACAGCTGTCACACTTGATTGTAGGTAAGATAATTCATACTGGAGAAAACTACTGGAATAAACCATGTGGCAAAACATTTAACCAATGCCCATGCCTTATTGCAAAGGAAAGCATTTATACTAACCTGGGCAACAGAGAGAGACTCTGTCTGGAAAAAAAATTGTGAATGTCACTAATATCTTCCCACATCTTACTAAACATCAGAGAGTTCATACTAAATAAAAGCATTAAGAGTGCAATGACTCTCACTAGATCTTTCAGAAAATAAAAGCCCTTAAAGTACAGAAGAATATTAATTTTGAGGAAACACATTACAAATATAAAGAGGGTTGTAGTATATTTACTTGTATCACAGATTTTATTGTACACATTTTGTACTACAGGAATACCTGAGGTAGTTTTTCCAACTTTGCTCAACATCAGGAAATTTATATTGAAGAATAACCCTGCAAGTTTAATAAGTTTGGAAAAACATTTTTTCAAAAACTACTGATTATAAAACACAAAAGAGTTCATATTAAAATGTATTTTCGCAGATATATAAAAGTAAAAAATATTTAATCCAAAAGTAAGTTTATGTCAATATGAGAGAATTCACAGTAGAAATATCTGTCTCAAATTTCAGATATCACACTAAATCAGACTGCTGAGTATAGGAATAAATCCAAAACTAAAGTTGGTAGAAAGAAAAATTATTTGTATATAACTTTAAGAGAAGTAGATTTTGAGAAGTTGTAATTAAATTTAAAGTATACTTATATCTTAAAAATACAGATTTTTTTTGGCCAGACACAGTGGCTTACACCCATAAGGTCAACACTTTGTGATGCCTGAGGTCAGGAGTTCAAGACCAGCCTGGCCAACATGGTGGAATCCCATGTCTACTAAAAAGAAATACACATGCGCCAAGCATGGTGGTGTACACCTGTAGTCCCAGCTACGTGGGAAGCTGAGGCATGAGAATCACTTGAACCTGGGAGCCAGAAGTTTCAGTGAGCTGAGATTTTTGCCAGTGCACTGCAGCCCAGGTGACAGTGAGACTCTGTTCCCCCCCCACCCAATAAAAAGACAGCTTATTTGGAAACTGAATAATGATGGACTTCAACTCTTAAATTGCTTCATGCTATTTCTTCATTTCTGTTGCATTCACATGTAAAAGAATGTGATCAATTCTTTTTGCATCAAAGATTTGGGAGACTTTTTTAATAGGTGGTCATTATTTATGACCCTTCTTATGGACGACTAAGGAAATTAAAATGTAAGATGCATGATGAAAATCTAAGTAGAAAGGCTATTTGTGGTTAACTTATGGAATTGAGTGATGTATGAAGTAGGTATTCTGAGTAATTTTTTTTGAGAGGGAATCTCATTCTGTTGCCTAGGCTGGAGTGTAGTGGCGTGATCTCGGCTCACTATAACCTCCTCCTCACAGGTTCAAGCTATTCTGCCTCAGCCTCCCAAGAAGCTGAGATTACAGGTGCCTATGACCACATCCAGCTAATTTTTGTATTTTAGTAAAATGAGGTTTCACCACGTTGGCCAGGCTGTTATTGAACTTTTGATATCAAGTGATCTGTCCACCTCGGCCTCCCAAAGTGCTGTGATTATAGGCATGAGCCACTGCGCCTGGCCCTTAGTAATATTGTAATGCAGTATTATGAGATGAAATTATTATTATTATTATTTTTTGTTTGTTTAGGCGGAGTCTTGCTCTGTCGCCCAGGCTGGAGTGCAGTGGCACTATCTCGGCTCACTGCAAGCTCCGCCTCCTGGGTTCACGCCATTCTCTTGCCTCAGCCTCCCGAGTAGCTGGGACTACAGGCGCCCGCCACCACGCCCGGCTAATTTTTTTGTATTTTTAGTAGAGATGGGGTTTCACCGTGTTAGCCAGGATGGTCTCGATCTCCTGACCTCGTAATCCACCCATCTCGGCCTCCCAAAGTGCTGGGATTACAGGCTTGAGCCACCATGCCCGGCCATGAAATTATTCTTAATTATAGTTAAAATTAACTAAATTACTGTCATTTTACTAATTGTACTTTTATGTGATGAAACTACGTTTTTTAAAGTTTTAGGTTATGTGTTACTTTAATTTTTTAATTCAACATTTATAACATGTTAAATATGTTATACATTGAAAAAGTGTTATGCCACTAATTTTAACCTATTTCACCTTACTCAAGGGTATATTTAGAAGATAGTAACAATACACTATTTGCTAACATAATAGACTAACATCTCTAGTATTCTTTTTCAGTGGCTTTAAACTGAAAATAAGTTAAATAGTATGGTTCCTGCAGGTTAAATTTTTTTGACATTTAAATTTATTTTTCTTAGTTTTTGTGTGTACATGATATGTGTATACATTTATGCCATATATGGCATATTTTGATACATTCATAAAATATATAATAATCACGTGGTAAATAAGGTGCCTGTAACCTGGCTTTTATGTTTTGCATTATGAACAATTTAATTCTACAGTCTTAGTTATTCTAAATTGTACAATTAAATTGTTATTGACTACATGGTTATTTTTATGGTGATAAAAATTGTAAATAAGTGTAAATAAAATCAATATATTTCTGAGTCCTGAATAATTTTCAAAAATTTATTGTATATTTTTTGAACATGTGGCTTCTGCCTGTGAGCACATAATAGAGTTTTAGTTTTGACCTACATAGAGTTAAATATACACATCTCTTAGTCTAAAGATATAACTTAGGTTTAAGGAGTGTGTTTGTTTCACTATAAGTTTGTAACTATTTTCAGAAGAAAAGAGTAATATTGAAACAAAATAAATCATTTTAGTAAGATGTCTAATTTACTAGGAAACAAAAATCCTCAAAAATGCTAAAAGCAGATGTATACTCTCTGCTTTGTATTCAATTTATACAACTATCTTATAGCTTATCATTTAGAATCTTTCCATGTAAACTTTCTGTTTTTGCTTGCATGATACTGATGCTCGACCCATAATCTTTTTTGTTTCTTTTTTTATTTTATAGTTTATGAAGTGTTTATCTGAGCTGATGTGTAGTTAAAAGAATATTTTTTATAAAATTTCATCATGCACACAAAATTATTTTTAGACATAATTCCAGAATTTGTGTATTAAGTTATGTTTTATTTTGTTAAAACATTTCATTAGGTTCTTTTAATGGGAAAATCCTATATAAGCTTACTTTTCTTTAGTTACTGTTCCCTTAACTTTTTATAAGTGACATTGAGTCAATTTGTTTCAGTAAGTACTAGGGAAGCTTCATAAGTCATGCAGATGCTTTTACATATAAATGTAGCAAACAAACATGACAGTGCTCAGTGTGTAACAGATGCTCCATAATTAGTCATAAATACTCCTGCTAAAGTTAGTTTATAACTTCGAGTCAGAGATGGAAAATACCAATTGCAAAGAAATAACATTGATTCGTCTGCGTTATGATTACAGTCATAACACAAATCAAATAACATTGATTTTTCTTTGTTATGACTACAGTTTTCTCATTGTTGTTGATTTCACATGGTATGTTATAGGTTTTAAGGAGAACATTGTTTTTTCTTTTTAAATTTTTTTTTGAGATGGGAGTCTCGCTCTGTTGCCCAGGCTGGAGTGCAGTGGTGCGATCTCGCCTCACTGCAAGCTCTGCCTCCCGGGTTCACACCATTCTCCTGCCTCAGCCTCCCAAGTAGCTGGAACTACAGGCGTCTGCCACCACGCCCGGCTAATTTTTTGTATAACATTGGTGTTTTTTTTTTTTTTTTTTTTTTTTTTTTTTTTTTTTTTTTTGAGACGGTGTCTCGCTCTGTCGCCCAGGCTGGAGTGCAGTGGCGCAATCTCGGCTCACTGCAAGCTCTGCCTCCCGGGTTCACGCCATTCTCCTACCTCAGCCTCCCGAGTAGCTGGGACTACTGGTGCCCGCCACTGCGCCCGGCTAATTTTTTTCTATTTTTTAGTAGAGACGGGGTTTCACCATGGTCTCGATCTCCTGACCTTGTGATCCGCCCGCCTCGGCCTCCCAAAGTGCTGGGATTACAGGCGTGAGCCACCGCGCCCGGCCAACATTGGTGTTTTTTAATGCACTGAAAAATTGGTTTTAACTGGAAGGTTTGCTTATCAATAACTTTTAAGATTGGTTAATTAACATAAAAGACATACACTGTCCACCAAAGAGAGGATTAAATCAGCATGGTGTTCCTTCATAAGAGAAAGAGATTAGATTTTCATACAAAGTGTGGCAAATATATAATTTGCTAGAACACACATATATTATGAAAATTAAATTTTTAAGAGAATTAATAGTGAGCAATTTTCAATTTATTTAGGATGTACTTACAGCATAACTTACAGTTCCATGTAAAATCCTCTATTTTAAAGTGTCAATGTTAAAGATTGCAAAATAATAAAATGACCCCTGTAAATCTAGAATAATATTTATTTTCCATATTGATATTACAATTTGAAGAAATTTATCGCTCATTTTTAAAATAAATTTTTAGGAGGTTGAAGTTTAATCTACAGTTTATATTGTTAGTCACCTAACTGTAGCAAGCTCCTTGATCATTTTCTCTGAAAACTTTCAGAGATAATGGCAGCTTCTGGATTAAAACATTTCCTGTTAGTTTGCATGCAAACCAGTTTACCATGATCACAGTGGCCAGTCATGGGAGCATAAGCAAGCCTGCCCCTTTTCATGTCTTTCATACTGTTACCACAAACACCAGTAACTCCAGGTGCCCCAAGCTTAAAATAAAAACCCTAGAGTCATTGGTTTCTCCCATGCACTATGCTGGGTTCAGAACATGCTGTTGAACATCAACGTTCCTATGGTTATGACTGACAAATGAGAAAACAGCAAAAAAAACTATATTTTGGTAGGAATCTGCTAAGTTTATAAAAGAGATAGACAGTATTTGAAACATTGTTATCCTTCTATGGTATCTTAAAAATATATTTTTAACTTGATAAAATGTATATTAATTTTGTAAAACAACATTTTGAAGTATATATCCATTGTCAAATGCTTAGTTCTACATGCTTAATGCTTTATCTCATTGGTAACGTTTTTGTGGTTAGATAACATGAAATTGTAAGCATTTTTCAAAAATACAAATACATTATTGTGAACTATAGTCACCATACTGTACAATAAATCTCTTGAGATTATTTCTTTTATCCAAGTATAATTATGTGTTCTTGGACAGACATCTATCAATCCCCTCGTCTCTTCTAAATAAATACCTTGGCATTTGGTGGTCACCATTTTACTCTACATCAATGAGATTAACTTTTTTAGAATCCACATGTAAGTGAAATCACGAGACATGAATTTTTCTGTGCCTCGCTTATTTCAACTAATTTAATGTCCTCCAGTTTAATCCCTGTGATTGAAAATAATATAATTTTTGTTATTTAAAGATTAATAGTCTTCCATTGTGTATATCTACCACATTGTCTTTATTTACTCATTCAGTGTTGAACTGTTGATTTTATATATTTTACACATGAAGACTGCTGCAAACAACCTAGAAGTGCAAATGTTTCTTCATTCTGATTTCATTTGTTTTGGCTATACAATGGGGCAATTGTTATATGGTAGTTTGATTTTTAAGTTTTTTGAAAAAACTATTTTGTCTTTCATAATGACTGTCCTCACTTACACTTAAACGAATAGTGTGCAAGAATTTTCTTCAGATTTCTGCCAACACTTTTTCTTCTTAATTAGAGTCATTCCAACAGAAGTGAGTTGATATCTTATAGTTTTATTTTTTTTTTGGCTTGCCTTGCCCTGACAATAATTGACATTCAGTGTTTTTAAAATATATCTGTTGGCCGTGTACGTATCTTTTTCTGAAAAATATTTAAGCCTTTTTCTCATTTTCAATAGTTATTTT